CTGGCTCAGCTTTGAGCTTGGTCTCTACCTGGCTGGTTATGCTAAGTAATATTACAAGGTAGCTCCTTCTAAAAGTGGCTCGCCATATGAAGGCTACTGTCGCACCTCCTTCTGGAATTGGATTCCAGGTTCTTCTTGTCTCTAACAAAGAACTAAATGAAACAAGCACAAAGAAGTGGCACAGTTTATATGAAAAAGTAAAAGTAAAGACAGAAATGCTGTGCACAGGGAGCTTGCAGAGGGAAAAGTATGCTCAGAGGAGACAGGGTGGGCACTATGGTGAGGAGAAAGCTATAAAAGTCCAAGGCAGAATTTGCAGACAGATAGCTGTGTGAAATGCTCTCCTACACACACACACACACACACACACACACACACACACACAATAACTGACAATTCAGGGCCATGAACCTGAGGAAGGTGCTGTCTGAGGCTCTGTGTTCAGGACCAGGGGACCAAGGGACAGGGGATGGGGGACCAGCACCTACCTCTTCACCATCTATTCCCCATGCTGCCCAGAAAAGCCTGTGTCCCTCGTCGAGACAGCCTCATCTTGGCTCCTCTGTCTCCCATTAGACTGGAGAGCAGTCTGATCAACTGGGAATGGAGCTGGACTTAGTGCACACGGAGCTGTCTCCCGCCCAGCCCCATCGGCTCCAGAACAGCGGTCTTTCTCACTGAAAAGGTGAAAGCCTGCCCACTGGCCCCATGTCTAACTCCTGGGAGGCCCGAGCACAAGCACTGTGATCGCTTCCCTTGTGGTAGTTGCAACTAATGCACCGCAGTCAATCATTTTGAAATTCCTTTAACTATCCATGCCCTTGTGTTTTGGCTATTTTCTCTGGTGAGTCATGTCTTAACCCATCTTACTTAGTAAGACTGAGTAGATCCTGTACCAGGTACTGTGAAGGTACTGACAACAGAGCAATGGACAAAACAGCCACAAGCTGGGGTCACCATGGAGTTTCTCTGTCCTCCCACACATAGACAGCAGCTGGCATAGCAGCCGGAAGAGAACGTGCCAGCCGGATGGCAGCACAGTGGGCGGGCAGTGTTTCAGAGAAGGCAGCTCTCTGAACAAGGCCTGAGCTAGAAAGCCAAGTGGGCTCTGAATCTAGGGCATTAGCACTTAAGGCAACATGGCAAACGGAAAGGCTCTGCCCGAAGCAGGAGCAGGCCTCACTGCTCAGGAGCGAAGGGAAGCCAGTAAGTTCACCTGGGTGCCCCTAGGAGCAGCCAAGGCCACATCACAAAGAGGCCCCAGTGCAGGAGCCCTCTGGCTCACATTTGGAAGGAGGCAGGGAGCCACTGGAAGGCTCTGAGCACAGAGATGACGCAACCTGCCTTGTGGAGAGTTTCGTTGTTTCTTTTACTTGCTTATTTAATTGTAGAAATTTGTTTTTCCAATCTGCCAAGCCACAGCTAATGACATGCACTTGTCTGTGATTATGAATAATGGCAATGATACGACACAGTCAGGACTTCCCAGCACAGGGGCAGCGCCACAACTTGGCACTCAGAGCAGCACCCGTCTTTCTGCTGTGATAACAAAATGAGGTATTGCTGTTGACAATGGCACACTCGTGTGTGAGGGGGGTCCCGTGGCAGGAGAGATCAAGGCAGTTATCCAAGCAAGAGATACTAGGTCTGGAGCCAGGGCAGCAATGAGGCCCAAAGAGGTGGACAGGTCCAGTCTGGCTCTAAGATGCTCATGGATGCAGAGCTACACCCATGCCCCAAATCTAACCGCTACCTGTTTTCTGAGTAGTCTTACTGAGATGTGCTTGCTTAAACGCTGTCCGTGGTTGCTTTTGTGCTATGGGGCGGAGACAAGCAGTTGTGACCTCCTGACGTGCAAAGCCAGAAACACATACTGACCACTGACCCTTTATGGGGACAATTTGCCCACCTGCAATCAGTGCATGAGGTAAAGAGCAGAGATAATATTTTAGGCTTAACTAGAAAGAAAAAAAAAGGGGGGGCCTGTCATTTACAGAGATGACTTCATGGAAGAAAACATCCAAGTCTGGCTGGGGCTGCACTCTGGTCAGGTGCTTAGCGCCACACAGGTCACTGGAATGGAAATCTAAGGATGAAGGACAGACCTGGGCTAGACACAAGCTTGGGAATTATGAAAGGAGAAGTAGCAATTAAAGCCAGGAAAGCAGATGAAATCAGCAAGAGAACAAAAACATAAAGAACAAGATTTGCAATACTGAACCTTGGTACCCTACCATTCTACAAGTTAGCAAAATGAAAAGGAGCCACTGAAGAACAGACTAACAGGCGGGCCAGAAAGCCAGGAACCGCGCTAGCTAAGCCAATGCAGTGTTTAAGGGGAGGGTGGGAGCCACAGCCAATGAGGTGACAGGGCTGACGGGACAGTGACTCAGCACACACACAGCCCATATGGCCTCCCCCACCTGCAGTGGGATCGATAGTGAATACAAGGACAGGAGACAGGACTTACGTGTCACATGGGGGGAGGGGCAGGGGCTGGCAGGGGACCTAGGGCCACCATGGAAGCAGCAGCTGCAGAGATCCAGCCTGTGACAAAAGCTACCTGAGATGGAAAATCTGGAGACAAGAGAGGGACTGCTGGAAGCAAGACTGGGTGGTGAGAAGACCATTTCTGCTACACGTGGTCACGCAGGGCCAGGGCACCCAGGGCCAGGCCCACTGAGGCAGGCACCGTGAAGAATGGCAGGCGGAGAGCATGGCAGGCCTGGGTCTGTTTTCTCAGTGACACAGAAACAGCGAGTGCGTGGGGATGGCGGGTGTGGCAGAAAAGCGACAGCTGAGTGAGGAAGTGCCCAGGAGTGCAGCGTGACTGCTGGAACAAGAAGGGTGCCCACGAGCTGGTACTGGTGATCGTGAACTTGAAACAAAGCAGCCCAGTTCAGGTCCTCCTCTAGCTTTGTCCCAGTGCGAGAGACAGGCCAGACAGAGCAGGGGTTTAACTGGAATCACGGTTTAGCCTCAAGACAAATGCAGAAAGGGCCCTCTGGACAAATCCTGAACCTGCAGGTGTGGACATGGCCTGATCTTGGTGACACAAGGACCACAGGTGTTGGAACTTGTCCCACGGACAAGAAACAATCACCACCAAAACCCTAAACCCTTCAGTCCCAAAAAGTACCACAGCAGTGTCTTAAAGATACACAGTTCAAAGGCTTACTACCAACTGATGTTTAGGGCTCAATTTCCCTCTTAGAACTCTGGTTAAGCTTTTATCCTCATGAGCATCTATCTCACTATGTAGACCAGGCTGCCCTCAAACTCATGTAGCTCCTCCTGCCTCAGCCTCCCAAATGCTGGGATTACAGGTGTGTGTGTGACCATGCTCAGTTTCTAACTACAACTACCTCTTCTTTTTTTTTTTTGGCGGAACTGGGGTTTGAACTCAGGCCCTTGGGCTTGCCAGGGAAGCGCTTATTCCACTGAGCCATCTTCCCGGCCCCCTACAACTACTTCTGACAAACAACCCTATATCAAGAAGACAATGGGAAAAAAAAGGATCAAGTTATATGGAAGGGGATCAAGTGATAGCATGTACAGGAACAAATTCTCTCTGATGAATGTGATCATTCTCTATATCTAAAATTTACCAACAATGGCTGGGGAAAAAGATTATTTTTGAAAGCTGACTATGGCACAGCATGTTAAGTAGCTGCAGAACTGATGTCACACACCAATTAGATTTGATGATCCACACAAGTCTCTTAACATCTACTTTTTATAACTTAAGTAATCATAATACAGTAATTATAAGTATTATAATTACATCATTAGTATGTCTGACAGAAAAGTTAACATACAAAAGCTTTTCAAATATATAAAAAAGAAAAACCAACAAATATATGAATCAATATCATTTCTCAACAATTAAGAACCCTGGATATGGGCCGGGGAGTTGGCTCAGTGGAATAAGTGCTTCCCTGGCAAGTGTAAGGGCCTGAGTTCAATCCTCGGTTCCACCAAAAAAAAAAAAAACTAGCTCCACATCCGTACCCTACCTGCCCTTAAGGCAGCCTGAGCCAGCCCCCCCGCCAAAAAAAACCCTCCCTTTATGGGCTGGTGAGATGGCTCAGTGGTCTAAAGCACCTACTTAGAACAAGCTTAGCAAAGCACAGGGACCGCGGTTCAATCCCCCAGCACCACATGCCAGCCAGCCGCCCCCTGGTGGGCTGAGCTGGACACACACACACACACACACACACACACACAAATAAATTTTTAAAAAATTAAAAAAAAAAAAAACCCTGGATATCAACCAGGAGCTCATTTATGGAAACATACCATTACTAAAATTAAGTAAGGAATTATAAACTATCGCCAAGTGTGGTGGCACACCTGTCATCCCAGCACTCAGGAGGCTGAAGCAGAAGGATCGCCGTGTATTGAAGCCAGCCTCAACTACATAATGAGTTTAAAGCCAGCCAGCCTAAACTATACACTGAGATCCTCTCAAAACAAAAAACAAAAAAAAAAAAGAGGAATTACACCCTGTCCTAGAGGGGAACCCAGGGCCTCCCACATGCTGGTAAAGGGCCTAGCCACAGGGTTCTACTTCCAGTCCCAAGTCAGTTTCTACCTGAAATTTTAACCAAAGCAGTCTCTGCTGACACAGCACCAGGAGGAGAAGGAAGCCACCTGATCAGCATTTCAACCTCATTTTATTCAGATGAGGCTGCGGCTCAGGGCTGGCACCTGTGTTTGGCATCGACAGGGCCTCTAGCACCATGGTGAAAGGGGAGGCATGGAGAAAAAGCAAGCATCCACTAAATTCATAAAATCAGCAGCGCCATATTCACTCTTAATCATCCTGTCTCAGAGGTAGCAGCCAAAGAAAGGTTTTTAGAAAAACATAAAAAGTAGGAAAAAGAACTCATTTTAGTAGATCTTTAGCACAACAGACACTAACGAGATGTACCTGCACTGCTATGCTTTCGTGTGCTGTAGAAACAGCACAGGAGGAGCAGACGGGGGAAGTGGCTTACCTGCCGCGCCTATCGGGGAGGTAGCTGGGGTCATGCTGTGGACACTGAGGCCAAGACTCTGCGAGGGGCCTGGGGCTGATGCTGCGATCGGGGCCCCTGGAGGGTTCTCCCTCTGGGGCGAGGTAAGCGGGGTGGTGGGCTGTGAGGTCTGTCCACCAGCCAGTCGGGCCAGGCGCCTCCGGCGAATCTGCAACAGGAGAAGAGAGCATCCTGTGACCAAGTGGGCCAGCCACAACCAGTGTGATGACACGCTCTGGGTCACCTGGCACCAACAACCAAACCACATGGCTCAAAAGGCAAATATGCTTGCAGAGAAAGCACTCATTTGCGAGAAACTCAGCAAAGCAGTATTCTTACAAGACACCAGCCAAGTATTTAAATCTATCCCTGAATCACCTTACCATGGGTTTTTGTTTAGTCTTTTTGCAGCAGGGTTTCACAGTTCAGGCTGGCAAAGAATTCACCTTGTAGCCCAGGCTGGCCTTGAACTGCAGCAATCCTCCTGCCTCAGCCTCCTGAGTACTGAGATTGTATGCATGTGCCACCACACCTGTCTCCATCGTACCTTACTGTCACTCCTGATAGGTGTTATGAACTTTCGATAAGCATACTACCATTCTAAACATACTAAAATCTGCTGTTATTTTAATAAAATTTTATCAAAAGGTCATTTTAAATGGGTAAGATTTAGAACAGTCAAGTCAATGAGAGAAAGAAACACAAGTTACAATAAGACAAAAATTTTACCAGAAGTTTCAGGAGCAAAATGATTGGGTTATTTTTACTTGACTGCAACAGAAGTACAGACTGCCACTTCTTCCTCAGAATGCCCCAGAATTATCAAACCATTATGAATACATGTCACAAAATCCTGGCAGGTCACCAATGTTGCCCTCAGGCTTCGCTAGCAGTTCACATCCTGCTGCCGTCTGCTGCTCAGGTAGTGAGGACAGAGGGGGCTTCAGGAAAACCACCCGGCCACGAGTGAGTGGGGTAGGTAGGAGAGCCGCATTATGACCAACGCTGATGGAGGAAGTGCCATCTAGTGAGACCTGCCTGTCCTCCTAGACTGGCAGAAAACCCACTACTCCTCCTGTCCTCAGCCCTCTAGCCTCTGCCACAGATGCAACCCCTGGTAACCTCCACTGCCCTCAAAGTTGCCTGCTGGGTCCGCTGTCTACTCGGGACAGCCCTGAAGAAAGTCTCATTTTGTTTATTTGCTAAACACCTGTGTGGCACTTCCTGTCTTCCAGCTGTGTCTTATGCCCTTCACTCAGTCTCACAGAGCTCCACTGAGCCGGGGGTTTTCATTGTGCCCACTTCTGCCATGAGCCAACTGGGCCGGCCTGGTGAGGCACGTCCGGCCGCTGACTGCTGTGAGGCGCTGGCCCCCACTCATCTCCCTCTGCACTGCAACAGCCCGCGGGTTCCCAGGGTGCTCTGTCTATAAGGCCTGAGGCCAAAACTACTTGCACAAAAACACAAAGCTGCTCTTTTCCCCCAGGTTCCCCAACAGGTGTCCACTGGCGCTTTCCAGATGAAAAAGTGCAACACATTCAAAACAGAAGCTAATATGAGAATCTGGCCATCTTCTAAAGATTTACATAAGCAGCAAGTGTCACAGTTCTCACTGAATTTAGTGTAGCACATGCAGTTATTCTCCTTTAAAAATACAAAAATAAGCCAGGCACAGTAGTACAGGCCTGTGATACCAACACTCTGGGAGCCTGGGGCAGGAGGATCCCAGTGCAAGTCCAGCATGGGCAATTCAGTGATATGGCTTGAACCTGTCTCAAATAAATAAACAAGCCAGACCTGGTGGCACATCCCTGTAATCCCAGCATTCAGGAGGCCAAGGCAAGAGGATCACTCCAAGTTCAAGAACTACATAGTAAGATGCTGTCCCAAACAAAAAGAGATGGCAGATTTTATGTTAATATACTTTATCCCAATTTTTAAAAACAAAAATGAGTTTCAGATTCAGTTATTACAGACCACTGCTGGAGCAGATGCCAATCACAGCAAGTGGAGAGGCAAACTCTAAGCAGGCAAGCTATGCAGCAGACACCTGAATAAGGGAGGCGGGCTGAAACAGCAAACGAGACCTCGCCCCATCTGCGGGCCTGGATACTGACCAGTAGGTACTTTGTTTTGAGTTTAATAACCAAGGAAGTCTTTAAAAAAAATACCATGTTATCCAGAAGATTCTCTTAGAAACATTAGGAACTCAAAGGCACAGTATGCTGTGTGCAGTGTAGCATTAATCAAAGGGCTACCTCCTAACCAAGTGCCATGCAGTAACTGTACTCAAAAAAAAGGCCTCAGGTCAAAAAACACAAACTGCTTGGGTTGTTTTATTTTTGTTGGCCAAAGGACTTCACAATCTACTGGTTTTTCTTTCTCACCAATGGAAAAATAATTTTTCTAACACCTCAAGTATCTCTGAGATCAACAGATGGTGTCACTCTCACCACCCCAGTACTATAGACAGCTAAGTTAGGTAGAAATAGTATAGGCAAGGAGACAAGGTGACACCCGAGGCAGTCGGCACAGAGGATGAGAACACAACTGTGGCCGGAAGCCTCAAGATAAAGACAGTATGACCAGGCCTGGATAAGATAATTGGTATCCCCTGGTCCCATGAAGGCGCCACACCTATCAGTCACCCACGTGGGTGACCAGGACCTTCTGATTCATCTTTCCTAAAAAGGTCCTGGTTCTCTCCGCATGCACTTGTTATGTGACCCGCTTCCCCACTGGATCAACATGACCTAAACAGCTCTACTGGTAACCTAATTGGCTGATCTAGCTTTGGTCCACCTTGTACCTACTTCATGACTTCACAAAACTTCCTGTGTAAAATGGAGTCTGTGGCAACCCACTTTGGGCCCCCTCCTGTCTCTCAAATTGTTCCTACTGTTGACCTTTATTTTCCCTTAAAATGTACTCTTCCATTCTGGGGAACATGAACTCAGCCTGACATCTAGCAGGTTGGCTGACATTTGTTTCTCATGTATCACTAGGGAAGGACACACACAGCCTGGCACAAACAGGCCACGCAGGGCCTCCAATACTTCAGTGAGGACTCTGAAGAACAGCAGAAGCATAAATGATTCCCATGGACCCCAACCAGCATGGGATGGGGTTGAAGTGCTCAGCAACAGCCCCAAACCAGCCTCTAAATCAAAAGCAGCTGGCAGAAGAGGCCCCCAACAGTGATGAGCCCTGAGGGGCCCACAAGCCCACACTTGATTGCACAGAAGGACACCCCCGAACGCCTAACAAACTCTAGCAATGTCCTAAGCAATCTATTGTGCTGGTATTTTCTTTATTCATTTATGCAAATAGCTGTAATCTACAATTTCAAAAATCTAAGCGCTGAGTAGTAAGATTCTAAAAGAAAGCCCGTTACCACGGTACCCTACAGCCCACACAGCAATCACAGCAATTCTTGAAAAACAAATCACTCTCACACACTTGCCCTGAGCCTTGTGGCTTTCCAGAGCCTCAAAATAAAAACCCAGTTTTCCCCAGGCCTGCAGAGCCTTTGACCATGGCCACATGCCCCCCTGCCATTGCTACACCAGCTGAAAGTTCAACCTCAGCCACTTGCCATCCCTTCGCCTCAGGCATTGTCACCTCAGGCTCTGCCACCTCTCTGCTGTGGCAGCTTCATGCCACCTTCTCAGCAAGGCTGCCCTGAAGCACAGCCCTTGACACCACACACCGTTTATGTCCCAGCCCCAGTGACTCCTTTTAGCACTTTTCATGGCCCCTACATGAATTCCTACTTCATTTCTTTGTTTGAGGGCAGGAGGATAAGGGGTTGCCTCCCGGACCTCGTGCATGCTAAGCACCTGTGCAGCTCCTGAGCTCCTTCCCTCCCCCTCGCCGTTTCTTGGCATTTATTTTACCCACAATGTGGGGGATCCAGCGGAAACCACCACCATGTAGCCCTAACAATGAGCACAGAACCTTAGGCTCAGGGGAGCACTTAGCACAGTACCCTGTGGCTCTGGGAAGCACTGAGCATAGTACCCTATGGCTCTGGGGAGCACTAAGCACAGTGCCCTAGGGTTCTGGGAGCACTGAGCACAGTACCCTATCACTCTGGGGAGCACTGAGCACAGTTCCCTAGGGCTCAGGGGAGCACTAAGCACAGTACCCTATCACTCAGGGAGCACTGAGCACAGTACCCTACCACTCAGGGAGCACTGAACAGATACAGCCGGGTAAAGTAGAAAGCCGCACACCAGGATATTTACCCAGACAGCCACACACCCGACGCAGTTTCCGTATCTGACACTGAGTCCTCCTCAGACATTTATTCACTCACTCCAAGACCACAGTGAACAAGACCCCTCCTACCAGCATGGAGCTCACCTTCCAGAGGCCAAGAGGACAGTGGCCAAGGGCACACCAGATGAGGGTTGGCAGAAAGATGGGGATAGGGCAGCTGCAGGACCCCGGGTGGAAGCCTCTGTCTCATGCCTGAGGGAAGAGGGCACAGAGCTACACAGGAATGTGGACAGGAGGACACAGCAGGATGGGCCAGAAGACTCACTGATGCCAGGCGCAGAGATCAGAAGCCACTCCATCTTTGGCTCAGCAGAAGAATGCTAATTCAGCTTCCAAATTTAATAGTCTGGCTGCTATGGAGAGCAAACTGGCAGCCTCTGTGGGATGCCAGTGAAAGACAGTAGTGGAGGGTGGAGGGTAGAGGGCAGCACGGACGGGGGTGGGCAGCTGTGAGGTGGAGGTCGGCAGCAGCTGGGGGCTGTGGTGGCAGCGTGGCCCAGCTCTCAGGTACGGGCAGGCCGGCGAGAGCGCAGAGCTTGGGTGGTGCTTGGGTGTGTGCTCCAATGTGCTAAGAAGCCTAAGAAGAGGGGTTTTTGTTTTTTTTTTTTTTTTTTTTATATAGGTTAAACTTTCCTTTTTTTTTTTTAAAATATTTATTTATTACATTTATTTATTGTGTGTGTGTGTGGCCAGCTCAGCCCACCAGGGGGCGGGGCTGGCTGGCATGTGGTGCTGGAGGATCGAACCGCGGTCCCTGTGCTTTGCCAAGCTTGTTTCAAGTAGGTGCTTTAGACCACTGAGCCATCTCTCCAGCCCCAGAAGAGGCGTTTTAAACTCTCCCAGGAGTCAGACTGGTGGTGCACACCTGCAGTCCCTGCAATGTGAGGC